TGAGTACAAAACATAGAGAGGAAAACAAGAAGAAAAGGGACAAGAAGAGAGGGACACAACCTAGAACAGATAATGGATGTCTATTCTATTAACATTTCTCGATCTGGAGAATGGGGCTGTTTTATGTGTCGTCTTCTCCATTCAGAGGGCCCCCTGCCTGTCTTTGCCTAGGGCCCCACATTTCCTAAATCCGCCCCTGCTTAACAGTCTGATGGTTGAGCGTTTTTAAATGTTTTGCACTAATCATGACTAGTGCAAACATCACAGGGAGACCTTCCCTGCACATTAGATTAATTACTAATATATTAGCCTTAAATGTAAAAAAGAATCTTTAAAAACTTCCCAAATTACACTGATTATTTTATTGTAACTATAAAACAGTTTCCAGTCTGGAATTAACTTGAAATGTGATTTCTGTCATTTCTGTTTTTCTTTATTCAGGATAAAGAGCAGAAATCTTTCATCTCTGCCTTTTTTAATGAGCATTTCACTTTTCTTTTTAGCTACTTATTTTTTAACAACTTCCACTATGTTGCAGTATTTTCATTTATGTCCTCACAACAAACAGCTGAGTGGTAGAAAATAGGAGTACAAAAGTTAAGGATTTGTTTTTTCCTACTTTTTAGCTTCTTGTGAATTCCTTTCTCACTACTGAAAGTCTGGGAAGTTGTTGTTTTTAGTGTTTTGTCTTGAAGTGTTTCCCATCAGCTCAGAGTTAATATTACTTACAGTTATTTTGGTCACAGATTTAGTTTCACTTCTGCTGCTTTGTGAATTTACGCAAATTACTGAGAAGTCAGTTTAGATCAAACTGGAGCCGTTTCTCTTCATTTGGTTTCATTTTCATCTGTTTGTTGGGAGTAAAAACTTGATAGAGTCCTAAAGAAGAAAACAGCAGTAGGTAGCTGGTGATCTCTGGACCAGCCTGATTGATTTTTTTCACAGCTTGTTTTCCTTCAAACTGCAGATGATTTAAAGTCACGGCTGGTCAATTTTATTGGGCAAGTAGCTGATAAAAGTCATGTGACCTCCCATAGCGTCACATGTCTCCATGTCAGCAGTACATGCTCGTGTTGTTGTTGTCAGATTGTGCTGCTGTTGGAGCTGCAGTGACGATGCCTCTGGTTGTGCCTGAGAACCACAGTCATGTCCTGGCAGAGTTCGACTGCCTCGACCCGCTGCTCTCTGCTCTGCGTTTGGACTCCGGCAGACTGAAGGTAGAATCAACCGTTCAATCTCATCTAACCAGCTGTTTTAGTTAAAGAGGCCTTTTCATCGCTAAAGGTTGTTTTAGTCATTTAACATGAATAAAATGAAGTAAACTAGATTAGCAATTATTCGCTTTTATCCCAGTAACTTTATTAACTCACACAGACGGATTTCTGTGGTTGACAGAATATATTTTACAGAGTTAAAACAGATTAAACTACAACTTTTCCAGTTCTGGATTGAGCATATTTACAGATGAAAAGTTTAGTTTATCTTAAATGCAAAATATTTATTTATTCACAATATGGGTATAATTCCTGCTCTAAGTGGGTTTTTTCATCTAAAGGCACGTTTTAGAGTCTCTATACTCCAGTTAACAATTATTATTAATTGCTAAATTATTTGAAGATTATTTCTATAATAGGTTTTATATATATATATATATATATATATATATATATATATATATATATATATGTGATGATGCTAAATCCCATGGGGAGCTGTTTGTAAAGTTAAGCAGTCAAAAATTGGAAGCAATATTTATGGTTATTTAACGTGTTTTAAGAGAAAAATTAGGGGGTTATTTTTTTCACTGTCATTCATTCATTTATAAAAAAATTACTTAAAATATTATTAGATATTTATTTTTTTATTAAAAAAAATAAATAAATAAAAATAAAAAAATATATATTAAAAAAAATTTATTAAATATTTAGTTGCAAATTCAATATTTAGTCTTTAAATAAATATTTAACTCCAAATTAAATGTTCATTTTCTTAAATATTTAATTCCATATTAAATATTTATTTAACAAACAAACTATTAGCTATGTTGGTGCTAGCTAAATATTTAGCTAATATGCTAACTGACTTGCCGAAAAGCGGAAGCGAGCTACCAAAGTAAAAGCCTGGGAATCTCTAAGCATCTCCTACAGCATCTTCGTCACACTGACAGAAAATCACAAGTTAGTTTATGAAAAAAAAAGATGTAATTAATCCAAAATGGAAGCTCCTCTATGAAGTAGTTGTATTTGACCGTATACATTTCTTTAAGAAATGGGCAAATGTTTGTTAGGTTAACCTGCGCCACAGAGCTACAGCCATTAGGCATCAGTGTGTTGCTATAGCAACGACTGCTTTCCTTTCCGCTGGGCTGGAGGGAAGAAGCCGTCCCATTTTCCTTCATTACTAAATATTTAGTTTGTTAAATAATATTTAATTTGTAGCTAAATATGTATTTAAAAAACAAAATATTTAGTTTTAATCTAAATATTAACAAAGTAAGATTTTTATTAATGAATGAATGACATAGGGAAAAAAATTGAGAGGGGGGGTAATAATCTCCTTAATTTTCTCTTTAAACTCGCTAAATAAAAATATTGTTCATAATGTTCAACTGCTTAATTTAAAAACGGTGCCCATAAAATCCACGGCATTTATTTCTGTTATTGCAGTTCTTTGCAATGTGCGTTTAGCATGAAGCCATATTTAAGATCTAATATGCAGTAGAGTGTTTTTTGTTGTTTTTGTTGTTTTGTTTTTCTAACGCTGCCTGTCGGTTTTTAATGCGGCCGTTGCGTTTCAGTGTACCTGTCTGGCTGTGTCGAGGAAGTGGCTGGCACTGGGAACATCGACAGGAGGGCTGCACCTGATTCAGAAAGAAGGCTGGAAACAGAGACTCATTCTGACTCACAAGGTAGATGATTTATTGTTTATTTCACCTGCTGGTTACTGACGCAGTAGAGTGTTTGTTCATAGATCATCTAGAGGTTTCCAACCAAAAACTGAAAGTGTTTTATGTCATTGTGTGTCATTTTTATTCAGCCCCCTTCTCTGATGCTTCTAAATTAAAACTCAATTCAACCATTTTTTCCCCTCTTTGTTCAAATCTGTAATTTGATTTAAAGGTGTGGAGGCCTAAGAGGCTTCTTGGAGAACATTAGTGAGCTAGCTTCTCTATAAAGAACAATGAACATGGCTGATAGCTCAGCATTTCCTGATGATCTAAAATTGCAAAGATTATGGAACAACAGAAAACTACAGTAGCAGGGTTCCCACAGGTCCTTAAAAAGTCTTAAAAGGCATTGAATTCTTCAAAATAAAATTAAGGCCTCAATTGGTATTAAAATGTCTTAAATCAGTCTTTCGTAGGTCTTAATTTTTTAAAAACATCATAAAGAGGATTATTTTTATTACGATTTATTTTTGTAATCTAAATAAAACGTTAAAATGAAAATTAAAAAAAATAAATAAAAAATAGCAGCTCTCCATTATCGGTTCCGTCCCGATAGCGGAACCATTAAAGCGTTGTTGTTGCGGCCGGGACATTTGGGAGATGCACCATTAACTTTCTGTCTGGAAAATCTGAGCAAGTGTAAATGTAACCAAAATTGTCTCCAGCCAAGAGTTTCCTCCATGACTAAAACCAGGGAACATCCATGAGGCTCAGTGGATTTATGCAAGAAGTCATTCAAGCTCAGAACGATGGGAATTAAGGCAGTGGAGTCGCACATGCGAAGCACGAAACACAAAGCGTCAAAATGGAGTTAGAGAGAAACAGGCGGTATTTCTCAGTTTAGTTCCACCCTTGTCTCTGCAACGCCTCCACTTATCACCAAATCAAACATACTAAGAAAACCATACAAAGAAAAATAGCTGCTAAAAAGACTTAGCACTGGTTATGTTGGGGCTTTAAAACTGATTAGTTTTGTTCCCTGCTAAAACAAAGTTTGTGAATTCAGTTAAATAATTGTTCAAATATATCTGTCATTTGTGTGTTTTTAGCTTTCTTCCTGTATGGGAAGCTTTTAAAAATTTGAAACATTTGTGCAGTGGTTTATGTTAAAATAAACCTTTGGGTTAAGTTGTCGCAAGCAGGTTTTTCTTGTGAATTTGATCTTAAATTTTTATGTCAAGTGGCATTAAAAAGTCTTAAAAAGTCTTGAATTTAACTTGCCTTATGCTGTAGGAACCCTGAGTAGTGTGAAGCACCAATCCAGAAATCAGATCTCACGAGACACTGTGGACATTTGCATATTGCAATGAAATGCTTGGACTGCATGAAGATCTACCCAATTGTTTATGGACCCTAACATGCATTCAAGTTCTCTATTCCTGAAGTATTAGAAGAAAATTGTTGTTTAGGGCAGCTTGAATATCTTTCATAAGCTTAAGAGGTGGTAAAACCGTAAGATAACTCCTTGATGCTGAGATTTAAACCTTTGTTTCCTTTTTTTTCTTTGCTTATACATTACTTTTATATCTGGGGTTTTATATCTGCTATCAATCATGTTTTAAAAGATTAATTCCGTTTAATTTTTTAGAATAGAATAGAATAGAATAGAAAATCCCTTTATTGTCCTCCAATGGGGAAGTTCTGGTGTTTACAGAAGCAAAAATATTAAAGAAAAAACGGTCACACAAATGCGGACCTTAGAAAAATATATAAGAATAACATCATAGTTTAAAAGATAAACAATAAAATACTTTACATTGTTTTAACAATATAAAACTGGAGAATAAATAACCAATATCCAGCTATTTTTTACAGTAATGGATATTTGAAAATAGCAGCAACATCAGAGATGTGCAGAATGACAGCAGCAGGCATCCAATCACAGAGCTGGCCTTCCTGATCAGCTAATCCAGCCATATTTATTGGTTTATTTATTAAAAGTGGTATTATTATCCTTATATTAGTTTTCCTTATATGGTGCAGCCCTACCCCAATCCTTCCAAAGTCCAGTTTACCACAGACCATGTGGGGAAAAGTTATCTGGTCTGATTATGTCAGTTTAAAAACTTTTCGACTGAAATGCAAAATGCCAGGTGAGGCATGTAACTAAATCTACGCCTTGGATAGAGGATTCCTGCAGTGAAGCATGGTGAGGGCAGCATCATGCTATGGGGATACCCATCCTCGGGAGGAGATGGAAAAGCTGATGAATATCCAGATGTATGCAAGAGAAGAAAAAGCTGCATCATTCTCCTCTGCTCCTCTTGGTGTTAATCTGTCAAATAAAATCTTATTAAGACACATTTTGTCCTCTCTCTCTCTCTCTCTCTCTCTCTCTCTCTCTCAGGAGGGATCAATCACTCAGGTGGCATGTTGCCCTCATGATGAAGATTTTATTGCTGTTGCGACAAGGTAAGGTTATTTTCCCTTTAAATAAAGACATGTTTTGTCGCTTTAATTAAAACGAGTGTTATTGCTGTTCTCCTTGCTGCTGTTTTTTTCATGGCTGCTGTTCAGTCAGGGTCTGGTGGTTGTGTGGGAGCTGCAGCTGGAGCGGCGTGGTCGTCCAGAGCGCGTCAGCGTGTCTTCAGAGCACAGAGGACACGACATCACCGCCCTCTGCTGGGATACAAACGCACTGCGGGTTTTTGTTGGGGACTCTGCAGGCAAAGTGTCCTGTCTGCGGGCAGGATCGTCTAAACTGGGCAAGGTGCTGATAAAACCTCATGATTTATAGCTCCACAGCAGATGTTTTAATTACGTTTAGAAATATTTGTTATAGACCCTGAAATCTATGCCTGATCCAAATGTTTGATATTCGTTCTTGTCCCTAGGGGGCAGCATTTGTCATCTTTCCTGTCCAAACTGTCACTACTGTTGACTCCAGAGTGGTTCAGCTTGGATATTATGAAGGGCGCCTCCTAGTGTCTTCTCTCAGTCGCTGCTACCTTTGTGACACAGAGAAGTAAGTAGATTAGAGCCTCTAACTGAGGAGGGTAGAAATATTTTGATGAATCCAGAAACTCTAAATTCTGGTCAGCAAAAAATAACCAATGGATCTAAAACT